ATAACAAAAAAGGATTATGGCTTTAATAACCTGGACAGACATGCTAATGCATGAAGTGCATGTAGACATTTTGCCAGCTTGATGGCGGGTTTCGGTTTTAATCTGAACCGATATAGCAACAGACACATCGAGCGATACATGTCAACGGCATGAGAGCATGACGTTAATAATGATAACTCAAAAATGGTAGGGACAAAAAGATTATAGCTAAGAATTCTCTGTCCTGTGCTTCGCTGCGACAAACGAGCAGCAAGTAATTCGATGAACTGTGTGGTCATGCCAAAGCTACTTGTAAAGCTACTCGTGACCGCCATGTTTTACCGCTCTATGCGCTTAAACCCACCTAGTAACAGACTGAAACAGTGTAATGTAGGTACCGCTGTTTAAAAAAATGAAACAGTTTGTTTGTCAGTAGCTGCATCTATTCATGTTGGCTATAAATCACTGTCATATATAGTACGAAGGCCACTACAATCATGCAATATAGAAAAAACTTGGTTAAACATATTAAGGATTTCTGCTGGTTCTCCCTTCCCACTGGCATAGAAAATGACGTAATTATTTGGCTGTAATGCACGTTACGACGAAAAATGTACGTTCGTATGCCTGATGTATTAATTGGTACGTAACTTCTACTAGACCAGAATCCACGACGTACCGAACTGTTTAAACACAAGGAGCAGTTACTTGCTTAAATGCCTTCTCGTCCTCACAGACAAGTAAGAGCAAGGGGCAGAGTAAAATGCTGCGCAGTCCTGAAAGAGCTATGCGTCAGTTAAGAGACTCCCATCTACGAATATATTTTTAATGTTTTTACAGTAGCACATAGAGTACAAGCTCCTGAAATACCATTCCTGATGAGCAAGAGATTGGTCTAGCGAACAAAATTATACGTGAGGGAAACAGCACTGAAGGTACTCAAATACCATCGATCTTCGGCTAGCTTAAATGGCTCTTCTACACAAGTAAGAGCAAGAAGCTACGACCGTAAAACTTCCTCTCAAAGAAATTACGTTCCTATTGCAACACATAAAATATTCAGCATATGATCAGATTGAAGGCTCTGCAACACAAGTTCATACCATGAAACTTTTCAATGGCTTCCTGCGCAACCGCCAAGCTTTGAAATGAAACCGTTGCTTCACCTTTCGATCTGCCAGTCATTTTGTCCTTGTACATATGTACCTTCGGCTCCCCGCGGTGGTCCAGCTAAAATGGTACATAAAATTTCATCCATCGAATGCCATAATTCTGTACTTGAATGTCTCCAGCTTGACTGAAGAACTCGGCTACCATGTCCGGAGTACCCATATCCGGAATCCCTTCAATAAATATGGTATCCTTTTGTTCCATTATCTCTCCTGCGGTATCCGGTCTACTTCCACGCATCTGAGGGTTGTCTGAAAAAAATCTTTTTGAAAAACTGAAATATTAAAAATAGTATTTGAATCGCATTAGTCAGACGGAAATTTTTTTACATATTTAACCCTCGGCTGTCACTAGGATTAAGCTTCTAGATTACGAATGCGTTGTTATCTCACCAAGCACCAGTTATTTTCATTAACTCAGTTATCATAATCCACTCTGCCTTGTTCGCGCAACCTGCAAACGACATGTTAGCGCCTTTAAAGGTGTAAAACAAGAGCACTGTAGCCTCTCTCTTAAATTATCGCTTTAACTTTGGGCGACAAATAGAACAAATCAAATGAAAAAGAGACAAGTCTATTTAACTCAATAACATCACCGACCAAAAGCGTGTTACCCTTCGTCGATGAAAAACGAAAGAAACGGCAATTCTTCCTTTTGCTTGGCACATTACTTAGCACTGGATTTATGGTGCACCACTGTTGGTACTTTTAACATTCTAGTGTATTTTAGTTGCCCGTAAATATAATGTTTTAGTTATACACCAATAAAGAAAAATTCGGAACGTTTTCGCTCCGCTTTACACCAAAACACCATAAGCACTTTAAAAACCAAGCTTTGATCCTTTATATATCTGAATTATACCTTGATCTTGAAAACCATCGCTTCGGCCGCCTGCGCCAGGGGGGCTAAATAATAACATCCTTTAAACCGATGCCAATGTCTTTCAACATTTGAACAGCTGGGAGTTTGGAACTTTATGCAATGTATACACATAAACGTTCTGCTGATATTCCATCGTGCAAAATCGCACGACGACTAAAAAGAACTTGAACCACAAAAAGACTCGTTAAACCAAACGTGGAAAGGAAGCAAATATTTAACGAGTTTGCTTTAATTGTTTTTACTTTACTTTATTCGCTGCCGTCTACAGCAGACCACAAAATGCACGGATATCGTTGATAAGAAAATGAGCACAAACAACGATGTGAAAGTTCTACTAAAAATTTGTATATCCACATAAAAGTCCTGAAAAAGTTACCAGACCGACAAAATGAAATCTATTTCACATAAAAAAGCAGTAAGAAAACGAAGAATATTTAGTGACAATAAATACTAAAACAAACCAAATAACATTGGACTATCTGCCTTTCGCTCACAATAAGAACTTTCATGCAACAAAGCATTCTTAGCACACAATTCTTGTGATCACAACAGCAGCAATATGAAATAAAATACCCATTTTCAATTAGATTTTATAAGACAAAACTTTACCTCTCTGCACTCCTTTCTGAAAGACCTTCCACGCAATAATTTGCCAATTTGTAAGACATTTGCTCGTTACTGTGCTCAAATAGGGACTACGCTTATTTAGACAGTTTCCACCGCATGTGACTTTCTTTATAACGCACCATCTGATTCGCATTCAACAAGGCAAGAAAATACCACCATATATTTGGTATGTGCGATCAATACACGCAAAAAGTAATCAAAATACCGCACAACGTACCCAATCGAACCCTGCATTCCACCTCTTCCCATGGGCGGCATTCCGCCTCCCATTGGAGGCATTCCTCCCATGCGACCTCCATACGGCAGACCTCTGGGTTCAAGAATGTCGCCTCGAGGTGGAGGCAATCTTCCTCCGTCATCCCAACGACTCTGACGAGGTGGAAGAATCAAATCCTGTTAAACGCATTTGTTTTAGCAAGATTTAATCAATCGGATCGTGTAACTTACAGCTTGACCGAAGAGTGGCTGTGGTTTTGGGCGTGACGTTGCTCCAGCAGGAGGTGCCTTCGCCAGGGGTGGTGCCTGCTGCGAAAGCGGCTGAGACTGAGGAGGTGGCGCTTGACTCTGCTGCGGCAACGGTGATGGCTGGGACTGTGGGGGCGGCGGCTGTGCCGAACTGTACTGCCCGTAGAATTGGCCATAATGATCGCCCGGTGTAAGAGTGGCCTGCGATACGGCGAGAGTAGCTGGAACCGGTGGAGCGGGATAAGAGGAAGGGTAAGACGATGTCGGAGGAGGCTGCGCCTTATCAGTCGTAGAGGGCGGCTGCATTTGTTGCGGTGTTGGGACCGCTTGCGCGGAAGCCGGTGGGACGTGCCCGTAATAACTGGCCTGCAATTGCTGCTGGTGGTAGTACTGCATGTATTGTTGATATTGCTGCATACACGCCTAAAATTAAAAGTAGAAGGTATTCGTAGAAATGCAGCATATTTAATTCAATGTATTATTGAAAAATATCATCTGTCCTTATGTGTGCTCGCAGTATGCAGTACATTTGGCAGTATGTACTGTATCTTAACATAATACATTAGGCGCTGCTCCTAGTAAATAAAACAACATTATACTGAATTACAATATTTGCAGAAGCTAAACTACCGCTTCAACCTCACCATGGAGCTCACCTTCTACTGCAAAGAAAATCTATGTATAGCAATCCAAACAATGATCCTTCGGGAAAGAATAGTGGAAACTAGACTAGAATAGTACTTTTAGAAAGAAATTTAGTAACCGTTGGAACGTCGGTTTTTCCTAAAATTTCATGACAGAACCATTCCAGCGCACGTCTTTTCATAAACTTCATGGTCGGGCGCTGGTCTCCATTTTCATGCCATTAGTGCCTTATTTTAAAGGCAGTGTCGACAGCAGCAAGCAAGTGGCAGACATAATATGTAGTCTCCTATTTTCTTCTCACGTAGTGAACCTGTCCGAAGCTGGAACTCGGGACCTGTAAGTTCTGAATCCGACGTTGTAGTAAGAAACCCAACCATGATCAGCTCGTAGTCCTTTAAGTAAAGTTATATTTTAATTCCGCAGGCCTATAAACCTTGAATCACAAACCATGGACACACAGATTCAAAAACCATAATAGATTCAAAAATTTCTGAAACTACTATTTTAAGGAACAGTTTGTCTCTGCGTGCATAAGACAGCAGAACTTTAGACTCACGGTTGAATGATCGCGCTAGGACAGCTGGTAATGCATGTTGCACTATATGCTCCATTAAAACAAGGTGACACAAATGGTGATTATTATGGAATGGATGTGAAAGACCAACTGCAAACCTTTCATATTTTATGCTGAGAATATTACGTCGTCATAATAACCTGCTGAATTGAATCACGATTCAAGAAACGAAGAAGTATAATTACCAATATTTCTTCTTCTCAGCGTGATTTCCCATCCGTTTTACGTTTACAAGCTGAAGTACTCTCTACTGACTTCGCACGTCGTACAAGTTGGCGCAACAGAATTTGTCCTACAGCGTACGTATTTAGTTTCATGCCGACCTCTAAGGTCAGAGGTAATTCAGCTGGTATACATTCAGAACCAGTGTCCATAAATCGAGGGTTGCAGTTCTTAGTAGGATTAATGGTGACAAGCTTGTGAGAAAAAAAACAGAAGACGACACACAATCACAGCCATTTCATTAGTTTGAAGCGCCTAGCTGCTGTTTTTTACGGAAAACAATTTTTGAAATTTATGGCCCAGTTGTAAGAGACAGACATCACAACAGTTGTAAACTTCACTTCTATCCCTTTTACCCATAACAAATACTGTCATTACAATCGCCATGAGTAATTAGCCAGCTTACAAATTTTTGCTCGTACCTCATAGTTATAGTTCGCCATAGCGTTCATTGCAGCCGCATCTTGAGGTGCCTAAACATAGCATTTAAAATGTATTCTTGCAGAACTTTTGACTAACCGTAGGGCCACCGGTAGCAGTTACCTGGGGAGCGCTTTGCATTGGTGGCTGTCCGTAAGCCGCATAATTAGCAGGATAAGTATATGGATAACTAAAATACAACAGCAAATTATTGGTACCTGCATAACCTTGCATTTAAGCCGAATGTCCAGCCATGAAGAATCGACCTACATGTTCATTATGCAAGCTCAAATTCGACGAAGAAATAAAATTCGTCCGGATGGATGACAGCGCAAAATGTTAAAATATGGATAACGTCAAAACACTAGATTTCTAAGTTTTCGAATAGCATCGAAAGATGCTATTTTTTCCATTTCATGTCGTACAGAGAGAAACATACAGATTTACCGTTCATCTTGCAGATGAACTAATAACTCTCAGAAAGTAGACAGCTTGAAAAATGCTTTCTTCTTAGGTCAGCCTGGACTATGGAACGCGACCCTTCTGTCTGCACTTGCAGTTATGCTCTATATTCTGGAACAGACACGACAAGAGTTACAGTATGCCAGCGTTAACACAGTTAATCAAATTATAGTTAAGTTTACTGATTAAGCAGTGACTACAAGTAGAGGTTCGACATTTTTCACATTAAAAAATCAATACCCGCATAAGAAGCGAATTGCCATGAATTTGCGAAATGCTCATAGCCGCATTACGTTTATCTTGTATAGCTCCAGGAAACAAGACACTTCCGGAAAGCAAAGCCTGGTACGAAATAAATGTAACACAACATAGCTGCTTTACTTTGACAGCGCCGATATTGCCTCCGTAGAGCTCATACGACATTGTAAATTATCTTTTTGGAAAAATCTAAACTTTCAATCAATTTGGCCTAACTTATAAATAGAGAACACTTCGGACTGCTAAATCAGAAGATTCATAATTCATTCTTGATACTGACGGGACGCTGATCTCAACAGTGATTTAAAATTTCTTTATAACTTCAAATATAATATTAAGCAGTAAAGCTGATCGAAAATGCATACCGGTTCAGTATCGCCATACGTTCGATTTTGATATTCTGGAAACAGTCACACGGTCAGCTATCAGAATTATCCTGTATTTGTTAACAGTGTTTTGTTCATGAACCACTAATGCCTCTATTCAATGGATCAGTATATTTCTACACAGAAAACAATTTAGGGTTCTATAATTCTTCTGTGCACATCTGGTAGAGCAATCGCCAAGAATTTCCATAAACTTGTTTTCTGTCAGTATCATTCAACTCGACAAAACGAACTCTTGAGCTCAACTTGTCACCATTCTGAAGGTCTTCCTACCAGCAGTCAACCCTCTCTTGTAGTCCAGTCTAGTGTCCCTCCAGTCCAGCAATGGTCGGTTCTTCTTTCAACGTCTCCTAGTTACTGCCACTTCTACTTTTCACTTTTGCAATGACATCCCTGACTAGTGCTTCTGCTTTAACCCATTCATTAGTCTTTTTATTTTCACCTTGCTATTCCCAACATAACGTTTTCATGCTGTATTGCGTAGTCTGCAGACTGTGAATAGCTTGCAGGCTTAAGATTCACGACTTGGATCCACAAATTAGCACAGGGAATCCAAAAAAAATGTTTCAAGCAGAAGGATAG